TGAAATTTGTTGTGTACGACTAAGACTTACGCGAGAACTATTGACCTTCCAATTGTAGCACTTACAACTGGATTGACTTGCAATGACCTTGAGCATAACTATTACCTTTATTCTTATTGTACTGGTTATTTACAATAAACCTTTACTTATTTTACCCACCTTGTTTTTCAAGTATATATTACTATAAGCACAGAAATATAACATGTTGATAACAAAAAAGATGAAGATATTAGTCTGTGTCAATAAGGTAAATGAAAATAAGTCCTCATCTGAGAATTTCAAACAGAACTTAGTGAGACTGATTTTCCTTGAATGCAGTACCCGTGTTGCCCAGCGCTAGGTTCAACTGTATTTTGTAAATATCAATTTCATCAAAACCAAAGATGGCAAACTAATCTTACAATCTGTTGTTATTGATTTTGTTCTTCAGTGGAAAACTTTAGAAACTTCGGAAATATTTCACTTTCCCATTAAAATCAAAATATTGTTTGTTTTTTATTTACTTTGTTTTGCTCTCTCTCTCTCTCTCTCTCTCTCTCTCTCTAGTCTTACTTCACTAGCTCTCACTTTCTCTCTCTCCCTGTCTAGTTCTACTTCACTTGCTCTCACTCTCCCCCTCTAGTTTTACTTCACTTGCTCTCACTCCCCCCATCTCTGGTTCTATTTCATTTGCTCTCACTCTCCCCCCTCTCTTTGGTTCTACTTCATTTGCTCTCACTCTCCGCCTTTCTGGTTTTACCTAACTTTCTCTCACTCTCCCCCTCTCTGGTTCTACTTCACTTTTTCTCACTCTCCCCCTCTCTAGTTCTACTTCACTTGCTCACACTCCCTCTCCCTCTCTCGCTCAACTTCACTTGCACACACACACACACACACACTCTCTCTCTCTCTCTCTAGTTCTACTTCACTTTTTCTCATTCTCTCTTTCTAGTTCTACTTCACTTTATCTCACTCTTCCTCTCTAGTTCTATTTCACTTGCTATCACACACTCTCTCTCCCTCTCTCTCTCTCTCTCATTGTCGCCCTTCCTACCGTTATTTCATTCACAAACGCCTTCCCTCCCAATCTATCTCGACAGACGCCATTTTCACTTCATAGCGCGTGTCTGCTAGATAAGTGAAAATAGATTTGCTTGTCTTGACGCGAATTGACAAATTATTTCGTTTAATAAATGCCCGGTGACTTCGGATTCTCTGCTTTTTAAATTTCTTTCTCTTTGTTTTTTTTAATTATACTCTGAATACGTCAGATCTGAAAGTATTGGTCGACTGCCCACGAGAATGTTAGCGCCACCTAGTGGCATTTGTTCTCCTTTGAGTTCGCTTCCGACCCATAACATGCCATCAGTTTTGTTTCTTTTCTCAATCCTTTTATTTCCTTCTTTTCTCATATATACGCATGTGTATCTCTCCTCCTTTCCTTTTTCTCTTTCCGTTCACGTTTCAGTTTTCTTCTATTTCTCTTTCCGTTTTTTGTTTTTTCTCCTCCTCCTCTTTTCTTCTTCTCTTCTCGTCATTCCCTCTTCCTCCTCCTCCTCCTCCTTCTCATCTGCACACATACACACACACATACACCTACATTTTCTTTGAAATTATCAAATGATTAATACGCTCGAAAATGAGTCCCATACTAAAAAAGCGACGCATATTGGAATAATGATTCTTAAACTATAGATAAGAAAAAGCCAAGCACATTTTATAGACAAACTGACTCTTATTTTTCTCCAGTCAAAAAGAAGAAAAAAGGCGCTTAATTCAATTCCGTTAGAAATATAACAAGGTCTAGATCAAATGAAGGTTTATTATCGCATTTCTGCAGTGGTATATAAATTCAGATATTGCTTGGAGGCAGCGAACAAATAAAAAAGCAATAGTTTCTTTTATTTAAAACACACACACACACATAAAGTATATCGAGTTGAAATTGTCATTATCCAGCAAATTAGTTTGTATACTAGTGCCTTAGCTAGACTATTCAATAGGTAGATATACAGCATTTAAATTTTCAATTACATCTGGTCGAGACAAAGTACGAAAGGCAGTTAAACGAATATAATAGTGGCGCTGAGTTTTGAGTTTTGAAACGGAACCAAATACCCAACTTCTCAAGCAATACCGCAAATTGTTTTTAATGGGAAATGTAATGCTGACCAACCTGTGAGTAGATGTAGCCGTCTCAGGTTGTGGTAATGGTTAACGACTGATTGACTATTACTACTAAATATAAACTTCGAATACTCCATAGTTGTAGCCTTGTGCCAAACTAAGCTTAGTCAGCAAAAGCAACAGTAAAACTGAAAAAAGAAAATATATTAATCAGATCTTTAAATTTTCTCTTTATAGACTGAATGTGGATAGGGAATTGGTGATGGAAATATTATGTTACACCAACTTTCAGGAGTCTTCCTGGTTCCTCGTTTTAAATATTGTTCCATTCTTTAAAAACAATAAAAACGGATTATAAACATTAACCACTAGATCTTATGCTAAGTAAGATGTGTCAGAAGGTGAAATTGTGTGAAGGCCTAAAATGTGCGTGTACATTATGCATTTATCCACAACAAATAAATTAAACGAACATTTGAAAACAATACAACTTGAAGAAATCAAGAAAAAAAACAAAGTAGTTATAGATTTCAACAATAACATGAATTTATATATATTTGACATACACAAAGTGATGATAGGTTGCTTGTTAAATGTGGTGAGATAAGATTGCAAAGAGTGTTTATGCAGAGATTTGGGGAATGAATGTTGATGGTTTAAGTCTGTGAAATTAAAACAGTTTGATTTCTGCAAGGTAAAATGTCAATTGTGTGAGTTCAAATAATAGTGTGTATGTGTGTGACAATTGTAAGTGTTGATTCAAGTTAGGAAGAGTTGTGTGCCTTTGACTGATATGCTAAAAGTTGATTAAATGTACAATTACTATTTCGTAGTGATAATGTCACTTTTTTAGTAAATTGCAAGTTAAGTTTCCTCACGCGGCAGTAGTAGTGCGAGTTGTGTTGAGTTGAGAGGCTGGTAGTGTTATTGAGTCAGTGTGTTGGCACGCGTGGAGTCTGCTGGCATCTCTCGAAACTCAGTGTCTGACTGACTTGAATTAAGTCGAGCGATTCTTTTTATAGATTTTTGGGTTTTCAAATAGGCTCCAGACAGCTGCGCGGGGGAAAAAAAGATTTGTCTCAACTTGCTACATTTTTGTGTCCTTTTAACCAATGGGAAATTGAGTTTTGGAAAAGTGAAGGGATGATTGGTTAAAGGTTAATTTGGGGAAGAGTGCATCTTCCCGTAGGGGGTGACAGGCAAGTATAGAGGATTCCATAATCTCACGCCACTGATCTATAGACACTTAAAGTGCGAACGTTTATTTCTGTTGAGGAACTTTTCCGAGCCCCACTCTCGACTTTAGTAAGACCAATCCGTTCATTAATTTCGTACTTCTTGAACTTTTAAAGGATTTCGTAAACCCATACTTTAATTAAGGACCCTCGTTTATTGCATACTAATAAAAATTTCGATCACTCCATATACCATGCTTTATCTTTAAAAGAGTCATAACAAAGCAAAAAATGGTCTATTGCAGTTGTAGCAGTATTGACGGCCTAAATCAACCCGTACATTTTTTTACTTTACGAATGCGTAAGCAAACGCAAAAGCAACAAGAGAAACAACAAGAAGAAGGAACACAAAACTGTTTTATAACAACAAGAAGATTTATGTTTATATTTGTAGAATGATATACAAGCATAGGAGTTATTTCCCTTTGACTGGATTTTACTAATGAAATATTTTTTATCTGAGCTCATAAAAAGTTGAATGAACTAGCTGCTCAAAATGCTCCCTGTGAGAGAGTCGAAAGAGTTCTGTAATACTGAGAAAATGTTGAGTAAATTTTTAGCTTTGGAAGGGATGAAGGAGTGAATGTGCCGTAATGTTTGTAATTAAGTTTCCGTTGCTTGTCATTAAGTTTGTAATGAAGTTTGAAAAGTTTCGTGTGTTTGTAATGTAGTTTGGAAAATTTCGAACGTACGTGTATGTGCGCGTGTGTAAATATGTTTTCAAAGCGTCCGCCCGAACTGGGATCAGAACGCAGTTTCTTTTACAACTACATTTTTGCAGCGAGAGAAATCAAGAAAGAGGAAAAAACAAACTCGTGTCTGGTATTTATAATCAACTTAATCACGTGACAGGGTCGAAAGGAATCGACTGATTTTGGGCGGATTTATTTTTTAGTCAGGTCAAGAATTAGGTCGATGTTATTTGGACGAAGTTGAGAACATGATTTAAATATTAAGTGACCAATCAGAAGTTGACGTTTTCTGAAAATATGTATGAAGCTGAATAAGTTCTGTGTTCCGCTTTTTTCACAGATTTGTACCAAAAGTGATATTGATAAAAAAAAAAAAGTGGCAGTGGGGTGCTAAACAGTCATTAATAGCATTACAGAGTCTTCTTTGTATTTCATCAAGAATTTCTAAATATATAGCAAGAGCACCAGACCAGATGTGGCAGCAATAATCAAAGCAAGGATGAATGATAGACTTATAAATATGTAAGATAGATTCTTCTTTGGATTTTATCAAGAATCTCTAAATACTCAACAGAGACACCAGACCAGATGTGGCAGCAATATTCAAAGCAAATATAAAGGGAAAGGGACTGAAGCCGAGATGTCAAATCAGGACCAATAACATTGCAGATTCTTCTTTGTATTTCATCAAGAATCTCTAAATATATGGCAGTAACACCAGGCGAGATGTAGTAGCAATATTCAAAGCAAGGACGAATGGTAGACTTATAAATTCGGGTGAGAAAAATTGTCTAGCACGACATAATAAACCAGCTTTCCTAGTCTCATATGCCTATAAGCATTTATTAAATAAAGGTTATTTAGGCAGTAAGTTTTCTTTTATGTCGTTATTTGTTGAATGTAACATACAATAAAAGACGGTCACCACGTCTCCCTATATTACATTAGCGATAATTTCAAATCCGACTTACGGCCATATCACGTTGAAACACCAGTTCTCGTTCGATCGCCGAAATTAAACAACGTTGAGCTTGGTCAGTACCTAAATGGGTGACCGCTTGGAAATACCAAATCTTGTAAGCTTGAATGTGCGGATGCTATAATGGATAATGGCTCGGAATTGTTAATCAGAATGCCGAGTTCCAATTCAAGTCGGGTTTGTTATATTAACTTACGCGCAAATACTCTTTGGAAAAATATGAATCCCACCTCTTCTCCCTCAAACTATTGGTTAATTAGTAGAATATTTATCAGTAAATCATTATTCAGTCATTTATGTGCCGTGCGTGATACACGTTTAGGCGATCATGTATCTTTCGATACATGACTGACGAGGCAGATTTTTTCCCGCAGTAGGTTGCTAGGAGGCTCGGATTGAGGAATCGGAGAGCCGAGTCTGAATTCCAGTCGAATCCATTACATTCACTTACCTTAGGAAAGGTATGAATCCTCTTCTTCGCTATGGGTAAATAGCAGGACAGACCGGGTTCTATAACCATGGACGGCAACTGGTCTACCACAGAAAGAAATGGCTACCTACTGCGGTATAAAAAAAATATAGAAAGATACATGATTGCCTAAGCGTGTATCACGCATGGCACATAACTAACAGAAATCATTATTATCTAAAAAAGAACTCTTACAATCTAAAAAAAGAATTCTGGTTTTAAATAACCTGCAAAAGTTTGATAAGACAAAAAGATCAATAAAAGACAAAAAGATCAATAAAAGACAAATCGATCAATAATTTCAAATCTTAACTGATGAATTCATGAAATATTTTTCAACAAACTTAAACCAAAAAAAAAACAAAGCTGCCCCTTTCCGAGACTGGTTGCTATACAAAGATTAAATACCTCAGTCTGTCTTGTTATTTTACCCATAACTTGGGAGTTAAGTGATGCCCTAAGATAATTTTTACGAACTGGTAAATGGCATTATTAATTCTGCCGAAATTTGAACTCGGTTTGCCAATTTAATTTTTAAATAACACATCTCGAGATCTTCCACAATGCTTAGAAAACTTCAAAGGCAATGCACATATTGTATGTATGTGTGTGTGTGTGCGCGCATACTCACGTGCTGCATTCCTAAATAAAACTATTTTCTATTGTTAATCAATCATAAGGCGCGAAGATTCCTCTGTCTCATTTCACTGGTAAACGCTTCGAAATCCATTATTTCAAAAGCCAGTTTTCTCCGTCTATATTCATATTAGCTGCATGTATAACAGGTTCCAAAATGGCCGCCCACTCTTTGTAACTAATGAAGATGAAACTCCAGCGGAGATTTTATTATTTGTATTTCAAGCTTTGCTTTCAAAGATATTAAACACATCTTATTATAGGGGATACTTAATACTCGATCTTATTTTCGTATATATATATATATATATATATATATATATATATATAATGAAATGGACTAAGTTCGACAATTATTTTAATATATTTATTGTTCATACGTTATTTTTATAGATACGAATATTTAAGTAAATGCTCTGTTTATAATAAACAGTATTAACAACATTTATCGGCCTGAATGTCCGAAAAATTTCATAGAAAATATGTGTCCTCCGACAGGAATCGAGCCTGTATCCTACACGAAACCGTTATATAGCTTGACGTGCTATACCATTTAGCTACAGAGGAAGCGTCTGGTTAGCAAGGTCGCTTTTAATTTAAATGTTATTTTAATTTAGCTTCCTAACAGAAGGGCAAGATGGGCTCTATTAGTCTATCCCCCTTCGGTTTGGTTTTCAATTCCATTTTCCTTCTAGACTGATTACCCCTTCAAGGCTAGATATCCCAGTTTGCCCTGTTCTTAAAGCCTTGATATGAGGAAGAGCTGCATCTATACAATTCCAAGACTTTGCGCGACAGCGAACGTATAGGCCTGTACACTAATCACAATTTCCAATCAATTAGCCACTACGCTACACACACACACACACACACACCCTTGTATTATTCCTAAATCTTATATAAATTTATCAAGAGCGTTAAGATATTCATTCCCTTGTACAAATTACTATCCATCTGTATTTTATGATTCCAGTATATCAAACGAAAAATTTTATGTCGGTATTGAAAATATTAGTACCGTATATTTCCGCGTACAAGGCGACATTTAGATAAGACAACGTCAAAAAATATAGAAGATTTTCATGAATTTATCCTACACCTGTAGTATAAGATGACTATTGATTATATAAAGTTAATGTTATTGAAGATGTTGTTACTTACTGTATCCTTAGAAATTCAAAATAAACGAAATAACAAAACCGATTCTATATTATATTTTTCCTCGACACATCCCCACTAAAAGGGAAACCATTGATTTGTTTACGTTTCATCACGTGATCTCTTGTAAAATTGATTCATCTTCTTCTCCTATATCTAAACAGTTACAAACAGCCTGCTGGACTAATGGCCATTTACTTCCTTTGAAAAAAAAAAAAGGTTGTATGTAATCCTAAATTGTGTTATTATTTAACACCAAAATGATAATGAATTTTAATGAGAAATGAATATTATGTTATCATAAATATTATTACTGCTGTAATTAACACTACTATGATGATTATTGAAAGTTTAATGAAAGATAAAGGTTGCTGCGAATGCAATCATAACTTACATTTTCTCAGCTGAGCTTTCATAGATACAAGTTGATTTCATTAATATGGAATTATTCTTCAAATAGACAAATTATTATGAACTTATGCCAGTAACATATAATGTAGAAATTGCTTTATTACTTTTATTATCAGTTTATTTGATAATGTGAATCTTTTCATGTATGTTATTGCACCGAGGCCAAGGTTAGCCTAACGACAAACATCACTCAAAATTTAAAGTTTTCTTTTTTAGAATTGAAGTATAAGACAACCCCAATTTTTAAGGGTGATTTTGGAGTTTTAAAGGTCGTCTTATACGCGGAAATATACGATATTTGCACAGGTATGCAATATTAAAGCGATGAATAGTGATTCAGTTTAGCATATCACAAGGTTACAAATACTTTAAGGTGTGGTGCTTCTTCCTTACTAGCTAGAGTTACCAAATAAAAATGCAGGAAACCCTGTTCAAATTCAAATGATTCTTTGTGCTTTTCGTACATAACTTTGTTATATATAGTAATATTATTTTATCTTATCTTAATTTTGCATGCATATACAAATAAAAAACCAGTTTAATTAAAATTTGAACCAATAGTCTTTTATTTGCCAAAATTTGACAACCTTGACAGCATCTGTCTTGGTGAAATATTAAACAAAACTGTGTCTTTTCCATAAATACTTTCATGGTAATTGTTCAGATAAGCTCTTCCCTATGGTACCTAGACTTTTTGAATTTAAGCTCAGTACTACACTGGCGTCGAAATCTTATAGTTGGTCTGACTGGATGTAGCTGCAAGTTCTATGCTAAGAGTTTTTCTCGTACTTCCCGCCTGTGGAATTCTCTTCCAGCTCCAGAAAGTTTAAGTGCAATGTCAATTGCTATCAACTGTCCTCCTGATTACTCTCTTCTCTCTCTTCTCATCATTATTAATGTTTCTGTCCCTAAATCTTTCACACCCTGTAATCCCTTGTATTTCAGTGGCTTTACTGTATTGCATGAGGTGATACCGATTTTTAAAAAAAGCAAAAGACAGGGAAAGTATTTGTAACCGTTAAATAGCAGTCAAGAGATACTGAGAAAGCAATATAGCAGGTGTCAGTTAGAGAAAAAGAAGCGAGGAATAATAACGGGAAGCCTTTGATAAAAATACACTTGCCAACAGAGTTTGCAGCCAATCAAACCTGTGATGTTTGAAAAGCTAGTAAATACATAAACAAAAAAAATCGGCTGAGTTTTCATATTTCTAAGATTTCATAGATAAAATAATTGTTTATTCACTTTTGGATCTGTCAGATTAATAACGGCCGTGGAAGATATGCGGTTCCGTGTTGTTCTTCAAACGTTCGATCTTCTCATGAGGATGTGAAGGACTTTCCCATCCCGTTCGTAAGCGAGGTTTTTGTATATAACTTGCTGTTATCAAGTCGTCTTGCGTGTGTATATTCTAAGTTTATTTTCTGTTTATGTTAGTGCAATGACTGACATTCTTCTGCCTTCAGGTCAACCCTCAAGGCACCTCGGTATTTTGAAGTTCTGTGGTGACACTTACTACCAAGCTTATTTTGGTATCTCCTCAGGATGAACCCAGTATAGATTAGGGTCACCACGGATCAACTCTTGTTAGATAAAAGGTTCCTGGGCGACATTCAAATCAATTCCGTCATCTAGCTTTTTTTCCCAGCGTAAATCACATACTATAACAGTAACTTTTTTTGCAAAATACCTCTTTTATAGCCTCTACCCAAAATCATTTGTTAAGGTATGATACAAAATATGTTTCAGTTTTAAATAACCAAAAAAAAAAGTCAAAAAGCCGTAAAAAAAAAACAAATCAATTTCTTTGGTGTTCGCTATGGCATCTAAAATTCAATGCGAGTGTTTTGCGATGAAGATAAGAGACAGTTTGAAATAGACTTACACAGTAGATAGAGTTTGCCTTAAGAAAGTCTAAGAACAAAGAGACTTGGGTATATTTGTTTCACGTGATTTATCTCCAAGATCACATATTTCTGAAATTCTAAAGAAGGCTAATCAAAAAATAGGTATGATCAAATGTTGCTTTACGAATTTTTCTCCAAAAGTGGTGTAAAAACCCTTTCTACTGCATTTATTCAACCAGTACCCGCATATGGGACTCTTATTTGGAGCTCAAACACCAAAAATGTTATGAACTTACCAGCCGAGGACAGGTGACTCAGGTTAGCTACAGGTGAAAACAGGACGCAATTCATATTCTTTCTAGTTGTCTTGTTTAGCAGCATATCAGTTTATTTGATAATGTGAATCTTTTCATATACGTCATTGGTTATTGCACTGAGGCCGAGGTTAGCCTACTGACAGATATCACTCAGAATTTAAAGTGTTCTTTTTTTAGAATTGTAGTATAAGACGACCCCCAATTTTTAAGGGTGATTTTTGGAGATTTAAAGGTTGTCTTATATGCGGAAACATACGATA